TGAGCAAAAGTCAGTAAAAGTTCACCTTCACAATTCACAATTCATGGAAACTAATTTCACTGCCCATCTGTTCTCTCACAGCTGAAACCCTCACAGACAATACCAAGGTCAGAGAAATCTTATCTGGGCTGGGCTGTGAGCTAAATCTTTTTGTAGGAAATAAGAGATTGTAATTCCAACCTTCCCCACAAGGTGTCACCGATACCATTTAAAGTTTTTTAAAAAAAATTCCCGGACTTTTCTAGGTTCTTTTCCAATTTAAATTCTTTTTTGCAGCTAGAAATAGAAAGTCTCTGTAAGAGTAGGAGATTTTTGGTCCCCAAGTTCCAAAAACATATAGATCCAATTATATTAGAGTGGTATTTTTGATGCTTTGATTCCCCTGGGTAGTCAGACATCGCTATTTTTAGAGGGGAAAAAATTCCCTTCCCTCTCTTCACAGGGGGACGATACTTCAGGAAGCTTTTTACAGGAAAATACTTAGGATAAAAAGAAGATAAGATCTCACCTGGTTCCTCCACATTCAGAGTGCTTGTTAGTGAGTTTGACTTCGGCTGTCAGCAGCTAAGTGATGGGCCATATTGTTATGGCCGATCTTTTTCCCGTTGGTTAGAAGAGCTGGCCCGGATCAAGTGGGAGGGCTGTTGCCATTCTGCGAGAGTGCGGGTCCTCTCCTTGCTCATTGCCCCTCCAGGGCAACTTCCAACCCTTTTCAGGGTCCCCCAGTGGGATAAAACCGGATGGTGGGGACAGGGATTGCCCTGACACATCCACCAATGCTGCGATAGCAAACTGGAAGTCATCTTGTAGGGTTTTATATAACTCCGTTATATAACTGGCCCTGGTGTTTTCTCATTTTTTTGCCTTCTTATGGCCTCTGTTATTTCCATCATTGTAATTTTTTCCTCTAACATAGTCTTAAATGTTTCTGGAATTTTTGGAAGACTATTTTCTTCTAGATATTGGATAGTTCTCTCTCTTGATGTTTCTTCTACATCATACAGTTTCTTGCAATATTCCTTAATTATCTTTTTTATTTCATTTTTAAATTGTAGACAGCTTTTTTCATTTACTAAGTTGTATATCATTTTCTTCTCCTTCTGTTTTTTAAGTTTATAAGCTAACCATCTCTCTGGTTTATTTGCATTTTCAAAAAAAAATGTTTTGCTCTTTTTATCTGCTGTGCCAATTTTTCTGAATCCAACAGATTTAGTTTGTGTTTTATTGTTTCCATTTCTCTTTTCAAAGTCTTTTTCTGTGGCTGTTTTTTTGTAGTTCTGATTCTAACTTTCCAAATTTTTCTTTTAGTAGTACATATTGCTGTCTTCTCTGTTTGTTTTTCGTTGCATATGTTATAGCTATACCTCTAAAATACTCTTTGGCTGTGTCCCATATATTTTGTAATGTTGTATCTTCTTTTTTGTTTTTTGCTAAAGAAAAACTCCATTTCTTTTTTTTTTTTTTTGCTAATTCTATCAATTCTCTTTCTTTTAGTATAGATTGATTTAAGGTCCATCTTGGTCTTTTTTGTATTCCTCTCCATGTCACTTTTAAAGGGTTATGGTCTACCCATGTACCTAGTTCTATCTCAATTCCCTGTATATTCATCCTCAATTCAGACATCATCCAAATTATGTCAATTCTTGACCAGGATTTTTGACTATTTGAATAAAAAGTATATTGTAGTTTTTCTGGATTAATTTCCCTCCAAACATCTTGTATTCCAATTTCTTCTATCATATTAAAAAATGTATTAGGTAGTCTTCTTCTTCCAGTTTTCCCTATTTTGCTGCTTTTATGGTCAATTGTCCCATCTACTATCGCATTAAAGTCTCCTACTAAACAAATATTTTGGTACTCCATTTCTATTATTTTTCTATGGAGGATTTGGTAGAATTATTCCTGGTTGTTATTTGGTGCATAGATTACTACTAACAATGTTTGTTTTTGATGTAGATACATTTCTACCATCACAATTATTCCTTCTTCATCTAAGTAAACCATTTTAGAATCTTTTTAATATATACAGCAACACCTCTTTTTTCTGATGCACTGATGCATAATAAAGTTTCCCAATTTTTGGGTATTCCAACAGTTTATGTTGTTGTTTTATATATATATATATATATATCTTGCAAACAAATTATATCTATATTTAATTTCTGTAGTTTCCTGAATTTTTTTTTTTTTTTTTTTTGGACAGGGAATTTAGTCCATTTATATTCACTGAAAAGATTTCATTTTCTTTCTCCATTTCCGTTATTTATATTTAGGTATAGTCAATCTCGTGGTCCTCTGTTCTCTGGCAGTTCCTTCACTCTCTTGTTCAAATTTCTCTTTCTGTTCTCTTGTTTGTGTAGTTACTTCTTCAATTATCTCTTCCATTTGTTTCTGTTCCTTGCTCTCCTCTTGCTGATGTTGCACTCCTTCATCTAAGACTGCTCGGTTTCTTACTTCAAAGTCTTCTGCTTTCCAGATTGAATCCAGTCGATATCTTGTATTATTCCAGTTGATTAAAATCCCTTCTGGCATTAACCATCTGAAATTTATGCCTTTTGCAATCAGCTTTGTAGTTAAAAAAAATGGTAATATCTTCAAGTATCTCTTACTCTCTTAGGTATCTGCTTTAAGACTACAATTTCTTTACTTTTGTATTATAATGGCTCATCTGTCACTTTTCTCAATACTTCATCTCTTGTTTTCTTTATGAACCTCACATGTATTTCTCTAGGTAGTTTATATTTCCTTGGGTAGCCTAAATTCATTCAAAATATTTCATCTATCTCTATTTCCATCACTGCTCTGTCTGCTTTCAAAGCCTCTGCCAGAAGCTCAATGATTACAACTGCTCTATTTTCTTCTCTGTCTTCAGGGATATTTTGAAATCTCAAGTAGTGTTCCGCCTTCTCCATTTCTAAGATCGCCACCATTTCTTCTAGATTTTGGTTTGCTTGTTCTAATTTTTCATTTTCCTGCAATAGTATTTCCATTTTGATCAATATCATCTGATTTATTTTCCAGTTTCTGGATTCTTTGTTCATTTTTGGCAATCATTTGATGATGAACTTCAAATTGTGCCTTTATATCCAAAATTTCTTTGCTTAATTTATCAAATTGCTTTTTGTCTCTTCATGACTTTTTTGCCTTGACTCTTGAATCAATTTTAGTGTAGTCTGCATTTCATTTTGGGCAGTGCTTATTTTCTCACACTGTAACATTGTTTCAATAGATCCCTGAGTTGTTGGGCTAGGAGTTGCAACAGAGGGTGCACAGGAAGTCTTCTTCATAAGTCTGGTGATGTTTGATGTACTCATTTTTCAGCCAACAGTCTTAGGATAACATCCAAAATGTAAAAAGGAGCCAACTATTTTAGGCTAAATCCAGTATCTCAAGGGGAAAAAACAAAATAGAGCAGGCAAAAAGAAAAAAGAAAAAAAAGCCAACTGTCTTAGGCTAAACTCCAATCAAAAAGAATGAGCCAACTACTTTATGCCAAAGCCAACTCGTCCAGTCGGGTCTCAGATGTAAAGCGTTCACTGTCTCCAAATAGTTCGTCAACAAATATAGTTATGAGAAGTCTTTTCCATTGTAGACTCACATCAAGGAATTTTGTTTACACCAGGTGTTGTCTCAAGGTCAGATATTTCCAGATTCTTTTAGTATTTAATAATACTGTAATTGCTTCTTTCATCACTAGATGTCCTCATACACTATTTTATCAATGTCTGGTTTTAGAAAGTTTTTACAAAGTTTTTCTTTTAAAGTTTATAGGTTATTTGCCCTTGAAAAAAAAAGCACTGATTCATTCAGCTTCAGCATGCTGTTGACAATCAGCTGTTTGGTGGAGCACCACAGCTCCTCGCTTTCCTTCCAGCTGTCAATGACTTGGGCTGCCTGGACTCACCTGGCAGTCTTTCCTCCATCCTTTTAGAGGGTATCTTCAGTTCACTCAGATGACTGCCATCTGGTCTGGGGTCCTGAAGTATCCCTCCTTCTTCGTTGCCCCTCCAGGGCAACTTTCCAACCCTTTAGAGTCGCCAGGCAAAGCAAAATCGGGCTGAGAAGCCAGAGCCCCAGCTTCATCCACCCATCTCATCACCTGCCAAAACCAGAAGTCCACTATGGAACTTAGATTTATTAGCAATCAGAAGCAGGGCCAGAAGTACTAAAGGAATGATTGAAATCCTAATGGTAACTTTTCATGTATTTGTATAATGTAACCTGCTTGTTCTTAAGAGCAGAATAGATTTCCTTTTGTCATTTTTTAAAGGAAGGCTGCTACTTTTCCCCCAAAAGCATTTGACAGTCTTTTGTCCACTTTTTCTTTGACAATCTTCTGGAAAATTTACTTAAGACTTGTTTTTTAGCCAAGCCCTTGGAGTAAGGATTGGCTTCTGAATGGTAGTTTTGTTTTTATTAGTGATTATTGTCATGTAATTAGCTGAAAACTATCTGCTGCCAGTAAAGATAAAGAAACATATAGAGAGGTTTTGTTCCCAGCTAAATAAAAGCATTGCCATGCATTCTGCGTGGTATTTTCTGTGATAAAATCAAGATTTGATCATTTATTCCTCTAGATCAGACATGTCAAACTCGCTACGTCACATGACGTCGTACAACATATCGGAAAGGTTTTGCCATTGCCGGCAATGGGGTGGGTGCGGCTTCCAGATGATGCATCTGGCTCACGGCCCAGCAGTTTGACACCCTTGCTCTAGATGGTCTGGAACTACAACTCCCAACATCCCTTTTAGTGGCTATACCAGCAGGACCTACTGGAAGTTATAGGCCAGGTGTCAAACTCGCAACATCACGTGGCGTGTCACGACGTATCACGGCTTTTTTTCCCATTCCCGGCAATGGGGTGGGCGCGGTCTCGCATGACGCATCCAGCCCAATGGCCTGCAGTTTGACTCCCCTGTTATAGGCCAATAAAATTTCTGGATGACTCTATTTTTCCCATCCCTGTTCTAAAATCAGTTGTGAGGAACCTCTTTCACCTGCTTTGCTTCTTTGCTGGGTCCACCCTCAAATGCCAGGGTATGGAATGAGCTGCTTCTTCCAAGGTCTTGTCCAAGAGATCACTCAGCTGATTGTGTACCTGTTCCAGGACATTCACCTTCATCACCTATCAACAAAACAGAGGGAATTTAATGATGCCCAGGTCTGTCATGATAGATTCCTAGAATGTATTTAGGTGATGGGCACGTTGGTTGGCTTGGTATATCTGTATATCTCCCAGGGTTTTTTTTCTTGTCCTTGTGGCTAAATTGGCATTATCTGGAATGTGTTGTATGACATTGTTTCATATGGTCTCCTATTCCAGAGTGTCCAACGCACTTGCTGCTTCCAATGCTCTCTTCTTCCAATGCCTGATGTAAAGCCTTCCCCATGTTGCATTTAGACAACATTTTTTTTCTCTCTTTATCATACTCCAGCCCATGATTGAAACAGCATTGCTGCATTGGTGTTAGATAATGTCCAGATTATGGAGAGGGGAGGGTTTGGCAGTGGCCTAGTAGAATTAGAGCTTTCCCCAAAGCTGGGCTGAAGTGGTCTCCTCCCACCCAAATAGCCACGAAGCCAATGGGTGAGAAAGCCAAGGTGATTTTATACATCTTGAGGCATTAGCTTTAGGGAAAGCCCCATTTCTACTATGCCATTGCTAAACCCTCCCTATACAGCCTGAACTATTCTTGGAGAAGGATGCAAACTTTAAAAAACTAAGACCCAAGAGAACAACCAGCAGCTGTCTCTCAACTGAGTTACTGCCTGAACCTATCAGATTACCCAGATGAGCTGGTTCTAAACTTAACCAGTTGTTTCCCTTCCTTGATCTATTACAAAAGCTCCCTTGCCCAGAAGGCCAAGTAGATCTCCAGGACCTGCTCCTCTATGACAAGGATAGATGTCATGTGGTCCTGGAGACACAGAATCAGCCATTTTAATCATCCTTGACTATTTACTGTATCATTTAGGATGGAATATTTGTTTCTCCAGTGCTAGCATTGGCTTTTATTATTACCTATTATAATATCTATTATTACCTCCAGGTGTCTCTTCCATTGGCTGTGGGCAATGACATTCTCCAGGTGTTCATCCTCTCCTAGAGAATTAGAAATAGCTTCACTTTAAAAACATGATTTGACATTGGGCGAATGGAGGAGGTCAGTTCATTGTTTGGATTAAAAATCTCATTGTAGAGATTTTTTTTTGTTTATAAATTACTACCTCCGAATTTCAAGCACTTGTTTCCCCACTCTTCACATTCTCTTTCCTTTGGGGTGGATAAAGCAGGTCCAAAACTATCTGCACCAGGCTTCTGAAATATGTTATATGGCACGTTTTATTCAGTTTTGTAGCCTTTTCTTAAAGCAGATTTCCAGACTATAATAACATCTTTTAACCAGAAGATCTGGAAGGCTGTTTATCCTAGAATTCTATAATAATAATAATAATAATAATAATAATATTGGAAGTGACCTTAGAGGTCATCGAGCCCAACCCCCTGCTCAGGCAGGAACCCTACACCATTTCAGACAAATGGCTGTCCAGTCTCTTAAAACAGCCTATAACATTATCATATCATTCTAGTAGAGATGAAGGAAGGAATATTGCCAGTACTTCTGATAAATTTATTAGAGTTTAGTACAGGTAGTCTTCAACTTACAACCATTCATTTAGTGACCATTTGAAGTTACTGAAGGACTGAAAAAAATGTGACCTGTGACCGTTTTTCACACTTATGACCATTGCAGCATCCCCATGGTCACAGAATTAAAATTTGGATGTTTAGCAACTGACATGTATTTATGACCGTGTATCAGGGTCATGAGATCCTCTTTTGTGACCCTCTTACAAGCAAAGTCAATGGGGAAGCCAGATTCACTAAACAACAGTTTTACTAACAGCTGCAGTGATTCACTTTGCACTGGCAAAAAAAGTCATAAAATGGGGCAAAACTCATTTAACAACTGTTTTGCTTAGCAATGGAAATTTTGGGTTCAATTGTGGTTGTACTTTGAGGACTATCTGTATATAAACTAACATAAAAAGGCACTTGGAGCAAAAAGCTAACTTAAATCAAAGACAAATGATAGGAAACTGTATTTGCTGACTGGGAAATAGTTTACCTGATTTCTCTCAAATGCAATGTAAAGCATATAAATGTGCCATTTCTGAGTAACCTTTTTAGAAAGGAGCCAAGAAAATATACATCAATAAACAGGTTCTAAAAGCAATTAAAAAGGAGCTGATGAAATTTTTTGAATGTTTTGTTTGTAACTGGTTAACTAATTAAGATGTTTCTTGTTTCTTTTCAACTAAATGTTTGAATTGTTTTGTCACTGAAGGCTGAATATTAGCATTTCCGGACAAAAATTAACTTAAAGGCTTTTCATGCATAACTCTTGAGCTTTTTGTCATAATTTCCCATGTTATTTCTTATTGATGTGTGTGAATCAACCATTATCTGATATTTGCCTCCTTGCTATCAGGCCCCAAAGCAAGAATGACATCCAGTGATTCTTCCCAGCTGAATTCTTTATTGTTTCAGATCTATAGACAGAGAATCTTGCCAGACTGAAGATTATACTGTCTGCATCTACAATACACTGCTATGGAGGGGCTGTCTTCAGCCTCTTTCTCTCATACATAATGTCTGGACAGAACTGTCTCCTTACTCCTTTGTGATGCACCCCCTCCCTTCTGTGAATCCAGCTCCTTACTACATTCCATCACATCTGCAAATGATTAAAGATTGCATCTGCCATCCTTTCTATAGAACCCATTCATACAACTTCCCCCATTTCCCTCTTTCTTTAACATACATTTGATCATCTCCTGTTCCAAAATCCCTTCCATCCCTACAATTACTTTGTGAATATTTGTATTAAGGAGAATACATACAACAGACACTATTCCTTTTGCCACAAGTTCTGCAATCTTTTCACAGGTGTTCAGAATAGTAGGAGCTTCTTGGGGTTGAACTCCAAAGTATTTGGGGGGACACCACTTATCTCTCTAGTAAAGTAATATAAGGCTTTTTGCTGCAGTTCCCAAAATGCTAATCTTTGCATAGTACTGCCTAAATCCAAGACCAACTGAAAATCCCCAGATAATTTATCTGTAGCAAAGTTTTGGTTCCATTTGTGCAACAAAATATATCGTCCGTTCCCTGAAATGCCTCCTTACCATTGAGTAATTGTGTTTCCTCTTCTCCCCTGGTCTGCTCCTGAGAGCTTCTTTGCCTCATGCCTCCAGTGTTCATTTCCATGATGGCTCTGAATGTAGAGTTTCTTAGGTTAGTTTCACACTCTAGCCCAGCAGTTAGACAACTAACTCACCAGGGAAGGAAATAAAGCCTCTGGAGTTAGAATTTTGCATCGATAAGGCAACACTTATCAAGTAGAGACAGCAATGATAGAGGGCAAACCTCCCTACTCTGATTGGTAAATTATACATTCTCGCTGAACTTTCCTCAGAGAAAAGTTGTAATGGAGCCAGGTTTCCAAAATCTTTCATTGTTCATACCATTTTATTTTCTGAATCAAATATGCAAATATTTATTTCTTAGAGCCAAAACATCTGAGAGTCTGTGTAAAGAAGCTATTTATTTCCCAGGTCCTATGATTTGAGAATATATCAAGGATGAATATTCTTGGCTGAACTCAAACACAAATTCAACTGCATTTTTCCCACCTGTTTATTCCCATAACAAGGCCAGACAGTTCTCTGGGGGACAGATGTAGAACTTGAATAGCTGAATTATCAGGCAAAGTAAGGTAGCTGTTTCCTGGGCTCCAAGATCATTGCAGATGGGGACTGCAGCCAAGAAATTAAAAAATGCTTGTTCCTGGGGAGGAAAGCTATGGCAAATCCAGAAGCATACTAAAAAGCAGAGACATCACCCTACCAACAAAAGTACATATAGTCAAGGCCATGGTTTTCCCAGTTGCAATGTATGGTTGTGAAAGCTGGACCATAAGAAAGGTAAGCACCAAAGAATTGAGGCCTTTGAACTATGGTGCTGGAGAAGACTCCTGTGAGTCCCCTGGACTGCAAGGTGATCAAACCAGTCAGTCCTAGAGGAGATCAACCTTGACTGCTCTTTAGAAGGCCAGATCCTGAAGTTAAAACTCAAAAACTTTGGCCACCTAATGAGAAGGAAGGACTTACTGGAGAAGAGCCTAATGCTGAGAAAGATTGAGGGCAATAGAAGAATGGGATGACAGAGAATGAGGTGACTGGATGGAGTTGCTGAAGCAGTAGGCATGAGCTTAAATGGACTCCAGAAGATAGAAGAGGACAGGAAGGCCTGGAGGAATGTTATCCATGGGTCGCGATGGGTCGGACATGACTTTGCAACTAACAACAACAACAAAGATAGTTGCCTCAGTCAGCAGATGCCATGCATGGCTATGCTAAAATGCAGTAGAAGATGCTAGCTATTCACTAGCACTGAGGAAAAAGGTTTTTTTTTTAAAAAACAAATAATTGTTATATGAGGCCATATAGTAATCAATAATAATAGCAAAAAAGTGAAAGAAGCAGCAGGCCTCTACAAAAAGAAAACCAACAACTTAGTTGACAAAGAGGGGGAAATTATCTTAGATGAGGATGAAAAATTAAAAAGATGGAAAGGATATATTGAAGAACTTTTTGAGGACACTAGGGATGATATAGATGTGGGAAGTATAACAACTGGTCCAAACATCACTATGGAGGAGATTGAACATGCAATAAAAATACCAAAAACAAGAAAAGCCACAGGACCAGATGATATCCCAGTAGAAATTTTAAAATTGCTGGAAGACAATAGGAAGAATTTTTTACTGTAGCTCTTCAGTTGAATATATGAAACAGGAAAGATACCAAATGATTGGCTAAAATCAACCTTTGTGACAATCCCCAAAAAATAAATGCAAAGTGTACCGAATACAGAACAATAAGTTAATGAGTCATGCCCTGAAAATATTCCTAAGAATAAGTCACACAAGAATATACAACAAAACAGGAGTCTCTAGGTAACACACAATTTGGTTTCAGAAACAGTCTTGGTACACGAGATGTGCTATTCAGCATTCAAGTTCTTGTACAGTGTTGCAGAGATGTCAATCACAGTGTTTACATGTGCTTCATTGATTTTGAAAAAGCATTTCATAAAATAAGACACAGCAGACTATTAGAAATCCTGAAACAAGGGGGACTAGATAACAAAGATATCCAAATCATAAAAAAATCTATATTGGCATCAGGGAGCAAATGTGAGACAAGGCCAAAAATACTCAGCTGATGCAGAAATATGACGAGGGTTCAGACAGGTTTGTATTCGGTCTCCACTATTGTTCAATATCTACTCTGAGTCAATCTTCAATGAGGCACTTCACGAAAATCGATGCTGGCATTAAAGTAAACGGTGTTTGGATCAACAATTTATGGAAATATCATGAAGATCACTACAAATATGTGGACATCCTTCAAGCTGAAAACATCAAGCACAAAGAAGTCATACTACAAAGTAGTATGAAACTTTTTTACTTTCTCAGAATTCCTCAGGCAAAACATTATTAAAAGCACAGGTTAGGGAAGACGCAAAAAGCTTAAAGATTTGACAAGATGTTTCAGCCACAAGATTTGCATCTCATGGTCAATCTCCATCTAGGCTGAACACATGAATGAGTGATAGGTTTGATAAAACTTAAGGCAGACTCTATAATGGCAAAAAAAAAAAAAACACCAGGAATCTGCTAGCATATTTTTTTCATTCATGAATATTATTAAAAGGCATACATTTTGCAAGCTACAGCTCATTTCATCAGATGTTTTCAAAGTAGATTATATCCACTATGTAGGGAAGAAGAAAACATAAAGTCCATTAGTCCTTAATTTTTCTTTTGTTGTAAGCAAAGCTCATAAGATTCTGATCTGGCAGAGAGCAGCAGGGGTGTACTATAGGAAAACTATAGTCCTTATTTGACCATAGTAATCACAAAAAAGTTAAGCAGGTGCAGACTTGGTTATATGACAGAGCACCAGAAAATCCCAGCATTATGGGCAAATTGGAAAGTTGAAAAAAATATTCTGGAAAAAAAAACTCAAAGACAAATAAGTTCTATATTGTTGCCAAGAAAGCAATAAGGGCATTGTCGTGAATTATTTTCAGGAATTGCTCTCAAAACAATATATTATTTTACTGTCTTTTATTTATGAGGGATGGTTGTTGTTGTGTCCTGAGTCTGCTGAAGCATGCAGAAGGCTCAGAAATGTTGAAAATGGTCCCAGGCAGACCAAAAGCTGCCCGGGACCAGACTGGCTGTCGCCAGCCTTGTGCGCATGTGCAAGGCGTGAAAACAGCCAGATTCCTATTGGCTGACACTGTCCGGTTTCAGAACAGTATAAAAGGCCTGCTTGTCTTTTTGGTTGCTGCTGGTTGTAAGAAGAAGTCAATAAAGGAAGCTTGATGTTCACCATGTGTCTTCGTTTAATGCCTGCAACCCAAAAACATAAAACTGGTGATGAGGGTGGGATAACTGCAGGCAAGAGGAAGATTTACAATTGAATCAAGGACTCACCAAAGGTCCTGAAGCTTGGGAAGTCGGTGTCCAGCTCTGCGACTCAGCCTGCCAGTATAGCTGGAGGTGAGCTTGGCAAACGGACCCCTTCCCCCAGTAAGACAAGCCTTGCAGTGAAAGGCATTAATGAGGCCTGTGAAGACTTAAGATGTCGAAGATTGGCCGCTTATCTGACTTTGATGTTTCCCACCCGGAGCGCTGGAATTCATACGTGGCACGGGTGGAGAACTATTTTAGGATCAATCAGATAAGGGAAAATGGCCTTAAAGCAGCAAGCCTGCTGTGTGTTTGTGGGCAGGAAACGTTTGACATAGCAGAGAACCTGGTGGCCCCTGCACTTTTACAGTCAGTAACTTATACTGACTTGAAGAAAATGCTTAAAGAATATTTCCAGCCTAAACTTTCTGTAATTGCTTGCAGGCATGCGTTTGAACAGAGAGACCAGAGGCCAGGTGAGTCTGCTGCGGACTTTATTGCTGCCTTAAGACAAGCAGCCAGGCCTTGTGAATTCAAGGACCTGGAAGAGAGGCTGCAAGATCATTTTGTTTGTGGTCTACGAAGTAGGGAGCAGCAACAGAAGATCTTCGCCAAGGAAGAAGTTTCATTCCAAAATGCATTGAGAGAGGTTGCAGCTGAAGAAGCAGTGGGCGGCACTGTGAAGGCCTTGCGGCTTGCCAGAAACCCTCCAGCCACCGTGACCGTCCATCAAGAGGTTGCTCGAGAAGATCCAGAAACAGATCCTGAAGAAGAGGTGGATAGGCTACACCAGCCAGCTGAGAGAAGGCCGAAGGAGCATCCAGACAAGGCTCCAGCATCTCCTCATTGCTTCGGGTGTGGAGGACACCACAAGCGCACGGACTGCAGATTCTGCTCCACCATTTGCCAGGCATGTGGAAGGCAAATCCACATTGCTTCTGTCTGGGTCGCCAGAAGGTCCAACCTCGGGAAGAATTGCTTCAGAAAGGTACCAGGGTCCCCAGCCAACACAGGGTGGGTTTCTGCGCATCACGCAGAAGTATTCTGAGGACAGGGACACACAAACCCCTTAAGAAAAAGCTTTGCATTGACATGAAACTGCAAGGGGTTCCCTTATCAATGGAGTTGGACACAGGGTCCGCTCTATTGATCATTTCACATGACACCTTCAAAAGGATTTGCAGCAGTAGTGGCCTTCAAGTCAAACTCAGGCCATCGAACTTAATCCTCACTGACTTCCAGAATTCCAGAGTCAGTGTGAAGGGGGAGGCTATGCTCAAAGTGCAGCATAAGGCTTTTGAAGGCCTATTAGATGTGGTGGTAGTTGGGGGTGATCGCACGAGTCTCATTGGACCTGATTGGTTCGAGGCCCTTGGAATCTAAGTGACTGGGCTGCACAGCCTGCAAACGCCCAGCCAGTCTGCAGGGAGTTGCTTATGTGTTTAGCTCAGAGCTTGGCTCTTACAAGGAGCCTACCATTGCCCTACACTTAGACCCAACTATCACACCTATTAGGATTAAGCCCAGAAGGGTGCCTTTTGCTTTCAAGAGCAAAATTGATGCAGAGCTGGACAAGCTGCTCCAGCAGGGCATCTTAGAATCTGTGGACTCTAGTCCATGGGAAACCCCCATTGTAATGCCTTTAAAGGCTAATGGAGAAGTCCGAATCTGCATGGACTATAAATGTACATTGAACAAAGCACTGAAATAGCATGCATACCCAGTCCCTTTGG